TACTCCAACCACCATCCGACCACACCGTCTCCCACTCCCACGGCTCTCCAGACCCCTACATTTGCGACTGAGCCAACACTGGCTCGGTTTATCCACCCTCAATCATATAGCATAAAACCCTCACCAAGATTGTCGGCTCAGGCACAAGATACCGGTCGCCACAAGCGCGACCGTATTCCCATGCTTTTACCGTTTGCGGCCACTTCCCTTTGAATCTGACTGAGAAGAGCACCGGCAACCACCCCCTCCATTCGTTCCCTTGTATTATCACGAGACATTATCACAGCTTGTTCTTGTGCGACAACGCATTTTCAGCCATTGCTCCCTTCAGGTCATCTGGCCCCCTTTGCGGAGAGTCAAGAGGTGGGTGCCTTTGATTAGGAGTGCCCATCATACTACGCCTTCATTATACCTGGCTCCGATCCTGCGACGCCAAGGAAGCAAGGCTGCCACTTATCTCGCTCAAAGTACGACACTCATAAATGACATTGACGATGGGTGGGCTCTGGTGCACGTCCATGATCTATCGAGCTGGGCGGGTCCAGAGCCTCCTGTCGCCATGGCAATTACAGTGATTTCCATCCAGCGTCCCAGCTCAAACCGGGTGGTCGGCCCCGGCAAAATCGGCGATGCCTAAGGCCATATCCCATCCATCGTCCTACGGTGATCGTGCTTGGTGGGTGCCTTCCTTGTCTCTTCGCACAGGCAGGTGAGGGTACCGGCCGGGTACCCAGAGTCGTGTCGCGCCTGCCCATGTGTCCATCTTCACAGTGTATCTACCGTGTGCACTGTCCAGAGGCACTGTCAGATGATGCAGTGACGTGAATGCCGAGTGATGCCTGCTGTACAACCTCGACTTACCGCCTTGGGATAGCTCCATCTCGCCATCCCAGCATCTATCCCAACATCTGAACTGGACGCACATCTATTTTGATACCGCCTCATCTTTGTATACACCGCCGGTTTGCGTAGACGAAGCGGCCATGGCTGGGATTTTTTCCAGACTTCGGCGTCTCAACGAGAACAATGTCGCAACTTTCCGCCGTGCACCCCTCACCGAGGTCTCTGGCTCCCTGGGCGATCTTGGCACATTGCTACCTCTCATGATCGCCCTGGCCATTCAAGGCTCTATTCAGCTCAGCTCAACCCTTGTATTTTCAGGTATCTTCAACATTTTGACGGGTGCCTTCTTTGGCATCCCTCTACCAGTACAGCCCATGAAGGTAGTAGATACACCCTATGGAGGGAATAAAGCTTCTTCGAGGATGCTATTGTTCATCTACATTCTGAGCTAAGCTAGTTACTAACTGGCGGCAATAGGCTATTGCTTCAGCAGCCATTTCAGCGCGAAAAGATGCACCCATGGCCGTTGTTACCGCAGCTGGGCAATGGGTTGGGGCCGCCGTCGGACTCATGAGTGCCACTGGTCTGCTGCGCCTTTTCGTTCGAGCAATCCCCATCCCTGTGGTCAAGGGTGTGCAGTTGGGAGCTGGTCTTTCTCTCATCATGGGAGCCGGCACTTCTCTGTTGAAGCCTTTGCACTGGGCCTATCCCATATTGGATAATCGCATCTGGGCAATCGTCGCATTCCTTGTACTCATCAGCACACATCAGCTGCCTCGCTTCCCCTATGCCTTGTTCTTCTTCGGTATTGCACTCTTATTTGCGTTTATCCAGGTCTCCTTAGTTGGCCAGAGTCTTCCATGGTTCCATATCTGGCAGCCAGCATTCACTATGCCAGAATGGATAGACAAACATAACTCACGTGCGTTGTGGATGGCTATCGGACAGCTGCCGCTAACTACGCTAAACTCTATCATTGCTGTGTGTCAATTATCTGCTGATCTTCTCCCGAATATCCCTGCGCCGTCGGTAACAGCAATGGGCCTGAGTGTTGCTCTCATGAACCTCACCGGCACTTGGTTCGGTGCCATGCCGGTCTGTCACGGGGCCGGTGGGCTAGCAGCTCAACACCGGTTCGGCGCTCGTAGCGGAGCTAGCGTAATCATACTGGGTCTTTTCAAACTCTTGATAGGTCTCGTCTTTGGCGAGACTTTGGTCGACCTTTTGCGACATTACCCCAGTAGCCTTCTGGGCATCATGGTGTTTGCCGCTGGCCTTGAGCTGGCCAAGGTGGGGAATAGTCTGAACAACGGTGCTCCCGATCTCTGGGAGGCATCCACTGGTGAAGACTCTGAAGTGCTCCGACAGAACCGCATATGGAAACAGAGAGACCTCTCAAACGACGAACGCATGGAGAGATGGAATGTCATGTTGACGACGACCGCCGGCCTTATTGCATTCAAGAATGACGCTATCGGCTTTCTCGCAGGAATGCTCTGCTATTACGCATACCGTCTTTCAGATCGGATTGCTCAGTGGCGAGAGTCACGTTCTGGCTCATTGAGAGAGAGAGTCCCTTTGCTACGATGATTACGATTATGATAATGAGGTGCATATACACATTTGCAGGACTAGCGTGCTTCTGAATTGTACCTTTTTTTACCTTAGTCTTAGTTTCAGACCATCCTATCTCGTCGCTTGTCTTGGGCCGTCTTGGTCTTTTCCGCGATTTCAGTACTCTCTCCTATTATACCAAACCATTGATCATAATGGCTACCATGGCTCTGCTTGACCTTGCGCAAGAAGATCTGATTCACGAGGAGAAAGAGGGCAAGGCACACGATCATGTATGACCCTTCAACAATGATAGTAACCCGAGCTGTGATGCTCCAGTCTCCGTTCTTCTGTGTATAGACTGAGATGAGTGTTGAGATGAGCCCAGCCAGTGAGTTTGCCATGCCGGGCATGAGTAGCCGATTCACGAGCCATATGTAGTTGCGAACATGTACAAGTGCAAGAATAATCATCCCAATGGCCGCAACGGCGCAACACACAGTCGCAATCACAAGCAGAGGAATGTTCTTGACCCCGTCCAGAATTTTCCCAGCAGTCTTGTCGGGACTCCATGTGTCGTCCCCGCTTTCCTCCAACGAATCCTGGATGCTGGTGAATGTCCCCGGGAAGACGAGGAAGCCAGCGAGCAGCAGCCAGACGCAAAACGCAGCTGATATGTTGTGCCAGCGAGGGATAGTATCCTGCGACAGAAGCATCTGAACATAACGAGAATGCTGAGTGTTTGAGCGCTCGGGGACTGGTGGTCTCGTCTCGTGCCGGTGTTTGGTCTTCTTGACATTTTGTTCATGAGGCTTTCGGTGAGAGTCTTCCTTTGCTTTGGGCATGATTTCGGCTTCTTCTAGTTTCGAAAGGCAGATTTCAGTACGTTGATGATTTGGTTGTCTATGGTGTGCTTGGCTTAAGAGGGCCCGAGGGGTTTCAGGGTTCTATATACTTCAACAAGTCATCTTTTCTGGCCTCTCCCGCCGGCCACGCTTTATCTTCATTGGACAATAGGCGGCACCGTCATCAGGTTTTGGATCCTGATTTAACCCCTGATAAACCAACCATCCTCACTGGATGCCGAGGAAGCGCTGGCCGGAGAAGCAAGCAATGATCAGCGGGCCCGATATCTTTTAGAGGCTGAACGAGAAAGTTGGATGCGTTCTGTAGGGACGGGGAGGCAGGGTCTCTTGAGTGACGTATGAAGCCCGTCCAAATGGATGGTAGGCAAACAGGGGTCTGGGCAGGATGATTGGGAGCCCAGAATGCATTCCCACTCCGGCTCGTCTTACCATTTTCAGGCGCTTTTAATTGATTGGACAGCAGCTATCGGGGTGCGCCGTGGTGCTCTTCACGTTGGGCGTGCCCGAATTTCCATTTACATGATCATTAAGCGAGTGCGCTCGCAATATCCAATGAACTCATCCAGTCTGAGTGGCGTCATCCGAACAGGAGTTCGTCGGCGAGCTTCCAGAGGGATGAGTTCGTTGAAAGGTGGGCAATGACCTTAGGTGACAGAAGAAATGAGACATCAAAATAAAAGGTTGTTATAAGCAGGCCCTTTTTAATAATAACTAAACTAGCAAAGTAGTATAAAATAATGTATATGAATAACATTCAGTACTAATATAATCACTCTAGAATTTATTTTAGCCCTTAATACTCTGATAATACTGGTCGCGGACTTGACAATAAGCAGTACAATATTTGAGTTTCCCAATGCCACCTACTTAGTAGGTTCGCGCAGTAAACTTCACCGTAGGTTTACGCTCTGGCCGCATGTTCGTATGAGTCAATCGTCAGCTGGTATCGATTTGAGAGAACTGTAAGTGGGCCAGAGGCAATTAAGAGACTAAGTATCTACAAGCAGATAAAGACGGTTGGATGGATTTAGGTATTGAATAGATACCCAGCTGAGTGGTGTCTTTTATTTCGCAATCATCCTTGGCAAGTAATCTAGACGCCTAGGCAATTATGTGTTTTAAGAATGATGGGAGAATAATTAGGAAGACGACCTCACTTGCGAATGAACTGCCGCCAGATTCTGGGGACTGCAACCTCGAAAGAGGAGGCGCTGGACGTCTCTTTTAGCACAGCCTGAGCTAGAGAAGTGGGACCATCGCGTCTTCTCATTGGCCACGCCACCCAGGCCCGTGCTCTGTGTGGGCAAGTGCAAGGCAAGCAGGAACAAGGCGTGCAGAACGTGCTACCTGGGCGCTGGGTACCTGACCTACCCAATGCAATGTAGTGGACAGCCCAGCACTAAGTGGCAGCCAGCAACCACTGAGCAGGAGCCAGCAGAGCGAGCCAGTGAGGCATCAAGTCAGCCCATCCGATTGGGGAAATTTAGTTTCTTCTTTCCCTCTCAACATCAACAACTGCCCCCCACAGCAATCACATTCTGCGAGCCGCCCAAGGCGCAACTCAACGAAGGAGCTGACTCCCTCTTCCCCGGGCAGAGCAGGGCAGCAGCGATGACTTCGTCCAGCGCCGGTCCGATTGGCGCTGGACCAAGCCTCCCATTTGCTGCAACCGCAGCATCAGCGTCCGATCCCGCCATTGCTCCCGTACCGCCGCCGCCGACTTTAGCATCGCCCGCGATGCACTCGGATCAATCCACTGGTGCGCCAGCGACTGCGACCCCCATCACAGACTCCGAAAGTGCGACCGCACCGACGTCCATGCCTACGACGACAGACGCCACCGCTGCTGTCGGGGCTGCGGCCGGTGTCGACTCCCGGAAGGACGACGCGACCTCCATCGCGACAACGGCCCCTACCACCAACACAGAGCCTCATGCAGCTATTCCCCACAATCATGCGCCTTCAGCCGCGACAGAGTCTCCGTCTACAACTCAGCATGCAGCCAAATTTCCCCCGACGGCCGACAGCTCTTCTCTCACACCTTCGAGGCCTCCCGGTGCTTCCTTACCAAGCTCAGAACTTCAATCACAACACCCAGACAACCGACCGACCACGCCCCATAATCAGACAGATGTCACGATGACTGATGCACCCCAGGTTGGTTCATCTCAGATTGATCCTGGGTCTCTCCCGCCACCTCCTCGGCCTGCAGCAGAATCAAGTTCTGCTGCACATACCGAGACAGCAAATCCTTCCGACATGGATATCGAGCATGGCGACACGCATCCGAAGACCCAGGCCATCACAGCAACTACTCAGGAGAGTGTGCCGAACAATGCACCACAGACTGAAGCTACCGTGCCCTGGACCCCGAATCCAACGGCAAACTTGCCTCCATCGACTCCGACAAACGCCTATAAAGAACACAGAAATTCCTATAGCGAGACATTCAATCATCATGCCGCCCTTATGATGGCTTTGGCCACAATGCACACTGACCGGAATATGATGCCTCACCAGCAGCTTGAGCAGACCGTGACACCCTCTCAGGTCACTCTCCCACCCCCATTAGAGGTCGGCCCTCTCCAGGAAAGGAACGGGATGTCGGTCCAAGATAGATTGAACAATTCCGACCGCCATCTCGAGTCGTTCGCTCGGATTGAGTTTGCGGACAGTGTTTTCCAAATGACCACATACGAAGTCGTGATCGGCCGCGATCAACGTGCTCTCAACCAGGCTCGCCGGGACGAGAAGCGCTCCAACGAGTATAAACAAAAGGCAGAGAACAACGCCCGTTTAGGTCTCTCTCCCCCACCACCCATAACCCATGACCGTAGCAAATTTAGTAAATCATACGTCAGCGAGGAAGGAGGTATGCTTGGCCCCGAGTCGGATAGCGACGGAGATTTGAGACCACCTAAAAGACGAAAAACAAGCACTGGAGGAGGTTCGTCCCACGACAACGAAGAGTCTCAAGAGAACATCATATCAAACCGCCAGTACGTTTCGCACACTCCCGGTGCCGCAGCCGTGGACTTGGCCTCATTACGGCCCAGTCCGCATCACGTTCCCTTTATCGGGATCCACTCTCCAGGACCCGACATCGCCAGCAAAACGAAGGCCATTTCTCGAGAACATCTCAAGATAACGTATAATCAAAAAGAGGGTGTATTCGAGGCTGTTCCGCTGCATAAGAATGGTTTCTTTTGCGAAGAGGTCCATCATAGAAGCGAGAAGGTTATCCTAAAATGTGGTGATCGACTACAGATCAAAGATGTTGATTTCAGGTTCATCATCAATGGTGTGGAGAGGGGGCGCACGGGTGCAGAAGAGTTCGCCGACGAAAAACCTACAACGAAGAAGCATTCTCAGGGTGGAAAGGAAATGAGTTTCGACTTTGAACAATCGCAAGATAACGAGCGGATGCAGGACACGAGTGACGAGCTGTCCGACGTCGAAGTCAGCCCGCCTGAGCTCTCAGACGGTGATGAAGTGGAGGAGGAGGAAGAGGAAGAGGAGACAGCAGAGCTTGAGGTTGGCGAAGAAACTGCAGAACCTGAGGAAGTGGCACCAGAAGCGACGCCGACAACCTCGCAGCCTTTGCCGACCACCGAGACCGACTTGCTCTTACCACAAATACCCAGGAAACGAGGACCTGGTCGCCCACCGAAGAACGGCATCATGTCCAAGCGGGAACAACGCCTCCTTAAAAAGCAGCAGCAAGAACTCGCCAAGAAGACAGTCCCGCAGATGCCCGCCATAGAACCGCCCATCAAACGCAAGGTTGGACGCCCTAGGAAACATCCTCTGCCAGATGACGCCGGTGACCGCCCTGAAAAGCGCAAATACAAACCACGGAAACCCAAGAATGAGGATGGGGTGGAAGGATCTGATGTTGAGCGGCCTCTTAAGGAGAAGAAGGAAAAGAAGGTACGACCGAAGTCGCCACCTCTGGAGCTCAAGATTGAGGACTACACACCGGAAGAGCTTCAGAAGCCGAATAAGAACTACGGCGTTCTCATCGACGAGACCCTTTCGGCAGCACCTGACGGACTCACTTTGAAGCAAATCTATAAACGTATTTGCCAACGATATCCATGGTTCTATTTCCACACAGAGACAAAGGGATGGGAGAGTAGTGTTCGTCATAACCTTATCGGGAACGATGCCTTTAGGAAAGACGACACGACCAATGTCTGGCTTCGGGTTCCTGGTGTTGAGCTGGATGCAGGCAAGAAGCGTAAAGCTACATCGCCTGATCGCAATCTGGCTGCCCAAAACTATGGTGCATACTCGTATCCATACAACGCTGCTCATCATATGGTTCCTGGCGCTCCAGGCTATAACCCTGGGCAAGCCGCTCAAGGCTTCCAAGTTGCAAATTATAATGCGCAGCAGCAGCAACACCAGCTCCAGCAGCAGCAACCAGGTCAGGCTCCAAGGCCTGCTCAACAACAATTCGGTTCAGGTCCACTCGCAGCTGGCCAACCTGCCCAACCCACTGCCTCGCAGCCTCCTGCACCCGCCCAGGTACCAGGATACGGACCACAAGCTACAGCTCCAGCTCGACCCCAGGTTGGAGCGGCTCAACAGGCCGGAGCCTATAGTTCTCCGTATGCTTCAAGGCCACCACCCCCGGCAAATCTTCCTATCAAAACAGAGGATGGCGGCTCCACGACAACCATGTCCGCTACTCAGCAAACACCTGTGCCGAAAGTTAATCCTGTGCAGGCTCAACGGGCCAGCACGACACCAGGTGTGTCGCCGGCCGTGCCCCAACAACCCCAACAGCAGCAGCAGCCGGTACCACAAGCAAGCCGACCCGCCGCAACGAGTCCTCCTGCGGCGCCGCCCAAACCAATCATCGACCCCCGTCTGCTCAATGCCGTGGTCAACTTGAAGAATGGTTTGATTGAGAATCTCAAAAGGGCCCGTAACCCTCACGCGGAAACTGTTGTATATTCTGCCATCAACCGCTGTGCCGGTCTCAAGACTGAGGGGGGGGAGAATGATAATGTCGAACGCATCTGCATCAAAGGCATCCGTCAGGTGGTTGACGGATTCCTCTCCAAACATCGAAGCCCTACTCCAGGCGGGAGCTCTACTCAGGGCACCACTGAAGCCTCAGGAATGCTGGACCCTCATGCCCTGAAGACCCTTCTAGGATTTAAGAATGTGTCCTGCAGCACTCTCCAAACCAGTCTTGGCGCTGCTCAAGCAGAAGCAGTAACACTGTCTGCAATCGATCGTGTCCTTGGCCTCGCTGATGTGAGCCTGGTCCGCGATAACGAAAGGTTAACGTCTTTGGAAACAAGCCTGATGCAGACAACCCGGCAACTTCTCGCCACACTCGAGAAGACCAGGGTTCAGGGCCTCACGTCTTCAAAATAAATCTGTCAAGCGGGTATTGGTGTAAGCGAGGAGCGCAAGCGAATATAGCAAGCGATTGGTTCCTTTTTATCCTCCTCACTTAAACTGAGAACCCCCTTTTTTTCTTTAAGTTGCTTTACGAGACATGACTGGTTTACAGCTAGCTGCTTGAATTATTAATAGCATGACCATACGTATTATGGACAATGTTTGGAGTCGGTATACCCCGGGATGTCATGTCTTAATCACGATAGAGATCGGAAACTGGGCGGGTGGACTGGTTAGCTAACAAAGAGCACGAGCAAAAAAAAAATTCCAAGAATTTGAACCATAAATTGATTTGAAACATTGCATCCCCCATCCTATTTACTATATTCTATATCGCCGATTCGTCATCTCCCAACATAAAGTTATTCTAATTATCATACAACTGACTCTCTCTCTCCTCATACGGACGTAAGAAAGCGAAGTAGGTATCATTGAAATTAAACGAAGAATGCTAAAGTATGCCTTCCCCAAAATCTCTTTTCACCCGATGCCCACGAATCAACTCGTTTTATAGATTGCCCCGCGAGAACCTGCGAGACGAAATACAGGCGGGGAAAAAAAGAAAAATGAAAGATGTAGGTGTAGTGCCGAGGGAAGGGCGTAAAGGCAAGATGTGTCTCGAGTCAAAGGCCAAGGATTGAAGTGAGCCTAAACGAGGACAGGTCAATCCTCTTGATGGTACAGGAAGTGAGAGGGGGGCCCTTGAGACAAGACAACAACGGAGGAAGGAAAGAATTAATTTGGTGAGAAGCGTAGAATCGTTTCCTTGCAAAAACAAAGGGCCGCTGTGCTGGAGGATTCGCCGTGGCTGCTCAGTCCCTTCTAATCAGAGAAGGGAGGGCTTTGAAACTGGAACGACCGAGTCCGCCAGGAATAAAAGACGGAATTAAAGAGAAAAGTAAAGAAAACGAATCCTGTCATGGCGCATTACCGTGAAGTCGATATAATCATGCGATCCTAGATCGAGGCGCTACTTGTGCGCTTTAAGGTAACAGGACCGACTGTTCAGCCTCCTCCTCTGATGTTCGCTGGGCTTTTCCCTTCTCCATGCCAGCAACACCACTGTCGGCCTCACTGAATATGCCGAGGCCGTTTGAGTCCTTCCTGCCTTCGTTTCGCTGGCCATCCTCTCCGGCTGCTTCTTCTAGTCCCATCAGGGCTGGCGGGCGATGACGCATCTGTTTGGCTTTGGCCAGAGAAATGATCTTGTGCTGGTACGTAGATGTGACAGGTTGTGAATCGTCGCGGTCGATCGTGGCTTTCATCAGCGCAGCCATCCATAATCGACCTTGCTTCAAGTTGGGAACTGCGAAATAATGCACCGTAGGTTTTGTGAAGTGAACAGCTCGGGAGAGGCCAGCTCGAGGGGGGGTCAACTTGAAGATGAAAATGGCGTCGTCACCCTTCTCCACAGGCTCATCGCCATCGGGGGTAGGGGAAGTGAGTGAAGCCCCAGTGATTGTAGCGTGTAGTCCAGTCAATTTCTCATTATCTGCAGGGAGCACACGATGGAAAGAGATATCGATGAGGCCCTTTTCGCTGTCGTCGTCCTCCGAGTAGTAATAAGCGAGGCGGCGGCCCTTGAGGACGAAGAAACGGGGTTTCCAGGTGGTCATAAGGTTGGAGCTCTTCTTTCTCATCCAACCACTGTAATCGGCATCCTTGATCGCCTCCTTTGGACTTATTTTTAAAAGTCCTCGTGTGTAAGCACTTGTCTCCTTCTTCGACTTCCGTCCCCTGTTTCGACTTGCGGGAGTGTTGGTAGTACCAGGGCTCTTGGTCATATCCGGCGACTCGAGTTCCAGGCTCGCCCCTCCTGAGGGCGTAGTCGAACCAGTCCTCGTTGGAGAGGTTATTGAGGGGTCCTTGTCTTTAAAATCAACAGATGATGCTTTAGATCGGTCGAAGCTTAAATTATCAGAAATTGCTCGAATCCCAAATCCACCAGATTTCGACATGGGCTTATTAATCAACGATGAAAGCCAGTCTGAGTCTTTAGCTGGAGTTGGAGGCCCCTTGGAAGAGTCGGAACCTCGAGACGTGTCCAACCTCGTGACAGTGGGTGAGGGATTGTCCTTGACTGAGGTGGAAACTCGCGGTGATTCGGGCGCCGGTGCATTTGTGGACGTCGTCCTTCGGTGAAGTCCAGGCTGAGCGCCAAAATACTTTTGTGCAGCAGACTGCGCACCCTCACGGTACGAGTCAACACTTCCATATCGGGAGTGCCTAGATAATGCCGTCGCGCTTCGCACTCTTTGTTCCTCAGCATAGCTCCCCCTGTTTGAGCGAGCCGCACTGTCACGCTTTCGAAGATTGGTACGTGCCCTGCCGTCTGCATCGGTGCCAGAAAAGTATCCCCGCTCGAGATCGACAGCAGGGTCCTGGAGATCGACATCAGATCCTCCAGTAATCCCTCGTGCACCGGCGGAAGAAATGGGGCGTGGGGATGTTGTTTGGGCAAAAGCGCTTCCAAGATTCCAATTTCGATCGAAGGAAGGTTGCTTCTTGTGTGGCATTGGGTCAACAGCACCAGGGAATGTGCCATTGCTTGCCAGTCTGGGAGTCGACCCCGCATTAAGATGGTAGTCAGTCGAGGAGTGACGGCGCGAGTGGTGTAGATCTCGAACGGAAGCTGCCGACGGTCGCTTGTTATGCCCTGAGTGCAAAGAGCTGTCTTGTGTGGTTGTCGAGTTGGGCGTCAGTGCTGGCGGAGTATGATTAATAGACAGTCGCTGGGTCTGGATGGTCATTGGCGGGTTCGTCGTAGCGCTTGTCACGGTGCTCGTCCGCCCACGAGTCCGAGGAGTCATGTCAGATGACCTATCGCTTCCCATCGTCCTGGTCGTTCTGCGAGTTGCTATCCCATTGACCTCGTCTTGAAGAGACTTGATTTTGTGCCATGTCTTCAAACGACGACCAACAGATCCAAGATCGAATGCCTTGATAAACAGAGAGCTCTGGTCCATCCCCAGAAGAACTTCTCCGGAGATCTCTTGGTCTCGGAATACCTCACAGTGGTGTTTCTCGACTCCAGATGTAAAGAGGTGCTCAGCCACTTGATCGGGTGTCCAGGACTCCACCTCCAACCGAGTGTGAGCACCCTCTTCCTCATCATCAGTCTCTTCACCGTGTATATATGATAGGCGGTCCAGGGGTGCGCTGTACTCGCTGCTCGAGTCTGGTGCAATTGAGGGCAAAGCACTGCTGCTCGCTGGCGATCGGAGATTGGTGATATGCTCGTTGATGACGTTGAGAGTCTCGTTCAAGACCTGGCTGTCTTGGCTAGGGTTGTTCAAACGAGCAAGGCCTTCGGGCCCTTGCTTGACCGCAGGTGAAGGAGCCAAAGAATCCGGTTTCGCTGAGCTTAGGGGCAACGTTACCGGTGTGTCTTCGGTTTTGGGAGTAGAGTGACCAGGCTTTGAAGGTGTCTCTGTCTTGTCTTCTTGCTGGGCCGGGGAAGAGGGCGTTGCATCGTGAGCAACTTCGGGTAGAGGGGAAAGGGGTGTCGCCGATGGGTGCGTCGGGGTCGCTGTAGCTCTGGGTGCTGGCCGAGTATACACTGTCCAAATTAGCCGAGAATCAATCGTCACCTCAATGATACTGTAGACAAACCTTCGGGGAAAAGGCCTGTATTCCCGTTGCCAACATGTCGTCCAAGGAACCATCCGTCACCGAACTCATCGTCTCGTTCAACCAGTTCAACCCGATCACCCTTGGAGAGGCTTAATTCGTCCGAGCTCCGAGCTATAAAGTCGTCTGTTTAAAGGGGCGCAGGGGGTGATCAGCAAACAGAGCGGCTTGATGGCACAGTTCTTGGAGGGAAACAATACTCACGAATAACCATCAGAGAATCGCCCACGTCAGGGCGACTCTGTGCGGTGGACGGACCCCTAGCAGCCATGACTGAGGATGGAATGAGTCGAGTGTCGCAGAGATTCGATGGCAGACTGCGGGTTATGAGGAGAGGCAAGAAAGCTCTCGACGACGACCGCGTCCGTCAAGAAACAGGACCCGCAATTCAAGAAACAGTAGCGAGTGAGACAATAGATCGACAGGACGTTGGGAGATTGATATTCTAGAATATGTCGTAGCGAGGAAGCTGCGCGGGATGGACAGGCGCCATGAGCCAGCAGCGTCCACAAGCTTTTTTTTGGCACCAGCTCGTGAAGGTCGTCAGAATGAATCGCGCAAGTGAACAGAGTGTGGTGGAGCGCAATCACTGGAGGAACTCCAAAGAGGGAGGGGGGCTGAGGTGACAAGGTTGGCGTGGGAGACTGCGATTGGATGTCAAAATTGGGCACGGCAACAATGCGCATTGCACACGGCAGCGTTGGTGGCCCCAAGCCCCTCAGGAACCGATTGACACGGCGGCCACTGGCACACCTTAGCGTCCTTACTATTCATTCCTCGACCCAGCGCTGGGGCTAGTCGAGGCCGGGCCCTTGGCGCTGCGGACGATCTCGACTGGAAGAAAGCACGAGAAGCCCGGGCACGACTCGTACTACAGAGCAGACTCACAGGGCGCAGAGCAGAATCAGAGTGCGGATGCCGGGGCAGGCAAATGAGCGACAGGACCAACTGACAAAACGGGGCTTTCTGACTGTCTGTAGGAGGTACCTTACTTTATAAGTAGGTCCGTCGTCGTGTTAATTTAATCACGACCCCCCAACAGTGCAGTCAACATCGAACCAGCCCAGAACCGACAGGGATCCCTGGGTGCCAGGATCTAGAATCAAGATGCACCGGATCCCTCAGCACTGGAAGCCATTCTCTGGCTGCTGGAACCCATCACTACGGAATAAGGCCATGTTCAGCGTTGACCTCCAAAACCCGGGGGCAATGTGTCACACTGCAGGCCATGGGCAGAGCCATACTCTGGGCTCGAGAAGCAAGGTAAGGTGAGGTAAGCTAGGTACATGCTATATCTAGGATGCTATATCTAGGATTGAAATGATTCCGAGGCCAATAACAGAGGGGGGCAAGATGATAAAGAAACCCAAACGTTGAGTCCGGTGGCCGGTGGCTCTCTACGGGAGATTGGACCCTGCCATCGCTACCCCTACCTGCCTTTATTACCAGATATATCAGCATACGGGAGTACTTGTCTGCACGCTCAGAGATGTCAGAGGACCAGGTACCCACGAGCAGATACCCCTCGGTCGGTATTACTACAGGTACCAGCAAGTGCAAACTGCTAGTCCCACTTGGCGGAACGGATACCTTACTGGCAGGTTCGATGCCGGTGTCATCAAATCTCACGTACGGGCTGCAGCACTGGGTGTCGGGTAGGTGCATAGTATTGGCACCTGGCAGCAAGCAGGGTGTTCCCAATGGTCGGCTTGTGACGGAGCTGGCAGTGATAATCTGTCACGTTACTAGCAAGGCCTCTCTGCTCAACATTCTTTGCCCTCAATTGACAATTGCCACAGGCCCATCCGGCCCTAAATTGCTACCTTAGCTGCCGCTTTCAACACGGCCCGTAGTTTAGATTAGCTGGAATACCCTGCGCTTGTCCCTTGTATCGTGCCTACCCTATACGGATGGCTTGTCGGATGCCCGCGTTGCACGGAACAATGTTTGTGCTTGTTCTTTTGTTTTTGTCTTTTTGTCTTTGTTTTTTGCTTTTTCTTCCTTTCTAGAAGGAGAAGGCTGCGCGTAGCTGAGCAGGGTGAAACACTAAACAATGCAGTCCCGTCCAAGACGAGGAACGTGCCCAGCCGTCACTTGGTATGAAACCAATATGTTTTACGTGGCAAACATGTATCTGCAAGAACCTATCCCATCGCTATGGTCAGGGAGGGGATGTTCCTCATACGTACCTTAGCTCGAGCCTCAACGCAAATAAATACAGGGACGTCTCGATTGCGTCAACGTGCCGGGTTCATGACTAAAAACATGTACCTATATATATGTATTAGAGTCCAGCTTGACACCCTCCATGCGCGTGCAAGCCTAGCCCGTCGACCTCTCTTTTCGAAACTAAGAATATGCCATCAGAAACAGCTGGGCGCTATCAATATATATGTTTGTCGCCCATGTGGTGTAACCAATCACGCATTGTTGTCAGAAATCAACCAATCTTGAAGTGGGGTTATGGAGCATAGGCGCAAGCGACCCCAATGGCTGAACAGGCCTGTCTCTTCGCTCCCGATGAGCGCTTAGGCCTCTTCACAATTGGGTGGCTCCACGGCTGGTCGTTCAGAGACAAAGTTGCTGGAGTGTTTGCTGATGGGATGAATTTGTTGACCGTAGTGGGTGGCTATCGACTATTTTATACGATAGAACAGCTTGACCCCTCGTATCGGGGCTGTTGGTTCACTCGTGGCACTTATTGTTGGTCGGTCGCACATGCACCAACGAAACCGGACTTGCCCAATCCAAACCTGCGGTGACATTAATTAAAGTACCAGCCCAGTGTGGCGGGCTTCAAGGTTTTTGGACGCCACACCATTTGCACACACCGAGCAGTTGCCGTCGCCAACAACCCTCCTGGCTAGGAGAGAGTTGTGTGCGCGCGTGCTTGAGTGTGATTGCGCATTTCCCCCAAGCTGGTCGGCCTGGCAGCTGGTTGACTTGACCATCCACCCCGCATTCGTCGCGTAAGTAGGTACTTGAGGGAGCTCTCTCACGCCAACGAGAGAGCGACCGCTTTTGCAAGGACCCTGCCATGCCATCGACACCACAGAGCACCGACAACGTCCAGGTCGCTGCCTCCAACCAGACTCTAAATGCCTTCCTAGGCGGGCGTAGGCCGTCCTGGTATCAGAACACCCAGAGCACGACTGGTCTGAAGCCAAGAAGATCTACGATCCGCCCAGCATCTCAATCGAAAGCAGCGGAGAATCGTGTGCACAAAACCCCTGTTACGGAGAACGGGGACGGGGTCAAGGACGTGGCCCCAGACGACCAGATAGCTTCGCAAACACACGACCAGCAACTGCCCACGGCTGCACCAAGGTACGGCCACCCTTAGCTCCGGTCAGCTTATGGCGCTCGCTAACTTCCCATACACAGAGCCGGCTCACTCCTCCCATCGCCGGCTCTAACAAACGAACCAAGCCCGGCTCTTTCAACCCGTCATGCGAGTCCAAGCGAACAGACGGGCAGCGAATCATTCCAGACTGAGGATCGTAATACAGAAGCTGAGCTGCGCGCACTCCAACAATCGCCTGCCGCAAGCCAGCCATCACCCGCTACGACAGAACCCCTCCAACCCGTTGATGTTGGCATGGTTCGTGTTGAGTATGGCCTAAAGCCCCGGGTGATCCAAGCGACTTCGGAGCCAGTTTCCTCTCAGGCCGGTTCGCCCACGGCACAGAGCGCTGGTCTTACTCCCGTTTTGACTACGTTGCCCGATCCCCAAACACCTACAGCAACACCGACAGCAACACCGACAGCACCGGTCTTCGGCTCGACCGGCTCTGTTGCTCCAAGAACGAGAAATGTTAGGCCGTCCTCGACCAGGAAAAGAGGCAGACCCTCTTCCACCTCTGCTGATAATCGATCGCCTCAGCGGCCTCGCACAGGCATGTCGCATGAACAAGGAGTAAATACAGACCTCGCTGGGCAGTGGCGGCAGTATTGCCAGCAACTTGATGACAGAATCGCCGCTTCTGGTGGGTGGGCCAACCTGGGAAGTGGGATTGAGTCACCCAGGTTCAAGTATCTCCGAGATGCTCTCGTAGCCGGCGATGGCTTTTACGTGCTCCTCCACCAGTTGTTGTGTCTTTGGTCTCTGGACGCCAATAGGGCGTACGGAGCATTCCGAACCCTGGCCCGGACTACGGTTGACCACGGATTCGGCTTTCTCATGAACATTCTTCGCCCCAATTCACTCCTAGCTTACAATTCCTTGGTATGGTTTGCAGACTTCCCAATACCCGTGTCTAGGGATGGCCTGCTTGCAATTCCTTCGTTGGCACCTCGTATCGGTACTTTCCTGAATGCATTTGTCCAACGCTGGGACCCAATGCTTTCTCAGGCAAGGGCACGGAAGTATCCATTGACAGCCTTCGAGCTGGGACCAACTCTGAATTGCGATTCGAGAATCTTGCAAGGAACTTTCTTCACCGTTAGTCGGAGAGTTGTCGGTATTCGGGATTCCGTTGCTGGGCAGCTGAACGCTGTCTTTTGCAAAGACCAGGAAGATGAAGCTCACCTAAGGGAAGCGGGGGCTCCAGCAGATCTCCTTCAAAAATACAGACAAGATCGAGTTCACCATTACTCAGAACTTGCTCGACAGGCTAAGCAAGCGGGTAAGATGGTTTCCCAGTGGTTGATGCGCGGATCCCCCTGTGCTAACATACCTCATCATTAGATACGAGTCGTTCACCAAGCGTGTCTGCCTCGGCACAACCACAACGAGCGCAGACGTTCCCAACTGCATCGGCGCCGTCAACCCCAACTTCCGGTTCCCCAGCTCAACCAGGGCATATGCTTCCCAGTCAACTCATTGCACCGAACGTTGCCATGCCTATTCCTTCTCTTCCTAGATCTAATAGCATACCAACCGGCGTGCCCCTTCATATCCTCCAAGCCCAACAGCAAGCGCTCGGCCAGCATCCAAATACCAACTCTCAGATGAATCATTTCCAGCCAAGCTCTCAGCCAGCGTCGCCCCAAACCAGCACGTCGCCGACTTCAGTGAGCATGGCGCCACTTCCATCTCCAACACACCCCCAAGCTATGCAGGCGATGTCTTATCCTTCACCTCGTTACCAGCAGCAGCACTTTCAACCAGCCATGCAACATGCCCCGCAGTTTCCACAGCCATACCAGTTTCCGCAGCATTATCATCCTCAGCAAGCTCAACACCCTCAGCAAGCTCAACACCCTCAGCAGGCTCAACACCCCCAGCAAGCTCAACACCTTCAGCAAGCTCAGCACCTATTGCCAAGTCAGCGAATTCCTCACCACCCTCAAGCCCATCCACTGCATATTCTGCCAAATCAACAAATTACTTACCCCCTTCAAATCCCGCAGCCACAGCATGGCCGCTCTGTTCAGCAAGCCCATGAGTCATGGCATCCCGCTCCATCAACTGCACAATCCGGACAGAGCCAACCGGGTATGCTCCACATGCCTAATAATATACCTCAAAATGCTGCGAACTCCCGGACAGTCTCAGCCAATGGTGTTGCTGATGCTGGTAGGGTCCAGCATCAAAACCTACAGATCGCGGCACAACAAGTTCGGCGGATTCCTGAGCACGAATATCCTAGTAGCCCGTATGATTGGCTTTCTCACGCGTCAGCAGCGCACTTGTCAACCCTCCGGAGCCCAGAACGTAGAGCTGCGCGTCAGCTCCCGTCTCTTGTACGGTACTATCAACACGTCTCTGGCTTTGCATTTGGGCCGATGAAATTCCCGCCCCTGACCGGCCCCAGAAATCTGGGTTTTACTGTAACAACCGATCATTTGTCTAGAATCCCACTAGCTTTTGAGAGCGAGGTCGGCCTACCGGTTCGCTATTATGGAGATGGGTCGCTTCGATATCGTTTACGGCTTTGTATGCGCCCCGAGTCCGATATTGCAGTATTGCCATCGGACTGGGTAGTTTCCCCTACTCACTGGCCCCAGGCGATTTTCCCCGCCTTGAACGGCCAATCTTTGATGGTTCGCCGGAAACAGCACTTTCACCATGATCTTCCAGTTGACCTGTCGGACTTAGTGGTTAAAGGGGACAATGTTGTCAGGATTAGCTTCCCCGACAAAGTGGTGAACTACAAAAAGGGGATGACGTATTTCGTTGCCGTTGAGATCGTGAGTACTATGTCGCACGACGCTCTGACCTCCATGGTATTGGAAGCACCCCCGATCTCAGCTGAGGAAACCAGAGCTGAGATTCAACGACGACTGAAGCCATCCGAGTCTGACGATGTCGTGGTCGAGGATAATACATTCTGCATCAATGTTGCAGACCCGTTCAGTTCCTCTTTGTTTGATATCCCAGTTCGTGGAGATTCATGTAGACATTTGGATTGTTTCGATTTGGAAACATGGCTACAAACTCGCCAAGGAAAACCGGGCGGAGGGCTCGAAGAGCCTTCAATGGCCGATAACTGGAAGTGCCCCATCTGCTTCCTTGATGCTCGCCCTAGCAGCCTTCGTGTGGATAAATTCTTTGCTGAAGTACGCAAGGGCCTGCTGCTGCAGAACCTGGGCAAGACGAAAAAGATCCTGGTTACGGCCAATGGCAGTTGGAGTGCAGTTCCCGAACTGGACGATTCAGAGGACGAGTCTCCCATCCAGCCGAACCGTTCTCTCGGCGAGAGAATTAATCAGCAGAAAGCCACAGCACCGGCGAACATCATCGAGATTGATGATGACTGATGTCACTCTTGACGTCCCGGAAATTTGAATGCTTGCATTAGGTACATATGCTGTGTCTGGGCCAGGGGCCAATTCTGCAGCTCCTTGGCCCGGATTGGACGCTTGGAATTATTCTATTGGAACTCTTCTTTTCCATACGAAGGAAATGACGTGGGTTCCTCATCAATGTGTGTTTTATATCGATACCCGTGGGTTCTTGCTAGCTAGGCGTTTATGGGTATTTGAGATTGTTTCGCTGGTTTACCAGGTGATAGCCAGTGTGTATATTTTGGCATGAATTACGGAAAAAAGGGCCGGTTTATGTACAAATGTGCCTTGAAGAACAATTTTATTTTTATTTTTCAAGGGTTTGGTGTCAAGCTTGACTTTGCTTGCGACAGCCTGAGCACGAGTCGGGATGACTTCAGAGCTGCAGCCCTACTCATCTTCTAGGGTCAGTCGAGTAGGAAAATGGAAGCTCCATCGTGGATACGAGATGTCTTGTGAATGATTGTTATGACCTGGGCAGATATTTGAGAGTGAGGGCTTCAGTTTCTCAAACACAGTGGGAAAGGTGCATTGTGGTTGTGAGAATACTCTAGTGGCCAGGACCAGTTTGCGACCTACGTGGGAGAGGGGCTTGAAGAAAGGAGCAGTGTGTTCTCAGCATTGCGAAACAAGCATTACCAAATGAACATCTATTATTGACTGATAATCATCAAAAAGATGCCATAATCATGTATGCATGAAGTCTGTTCCCACCACTGAAGAGCACATGATTGTCATAGGGCACCAGCTCGGCACCAATGTCATCATCTATTTCAGATACAAACCGGAACTAAATCTATGAAATCAACGTGTCCGCTCTTAGATCTTCGCCTTCACCTCAACCGTATCCCTACCACTGGGAACCTTGGGATGGTCTCCTGCTAATTGCAGGCCCGTGATCTGCTCCAGTTCATCAACAGCCTCGTAAGCTTGGCCTAGATGTACCTTGATGGTCCGGAAGCCTTGGTTCTTCGCCTGCTTTAGATTTTCACCAATATCGTCTAAGAACACTACATCCGACGGCGCTACGTCAGGCAAACCCCGGCCCTTCGCGTTCTTGTTAACCAGCTCCAGCGCGAGCTGGTAGATGGCAGGGTCAGGCTTCCGCAGACCGACGTGGGCCGAAGAGACAAACACGTCGAAGATGCTGCGCACGGGGTCGTCGAAGTAGTCCTCGCGATGGAGGGCGTGCCCGGACGGGAAGACGACCGTGTTGCTCAGGGCGGCCAGGATGTACCTCCCGCTCGCCTTGAGCTTCTGCAGGGCGGGGAACATCCACGGGTCCGGGAAGTTGGACGACGACATCATCGTCTCGAAGAGCCACTCGCCGTCCACGTCCGGGAGCCGGGGCACCTCCTCCGGGAGCTTTGGGTTCTTGGCCTGCTCTCTGCGGTAGAAGTCCCGCCACCTGGCCGTGTCGTGTAGATCTTGGTTGAATGCGTTGTAGAAGTTCTTGTCGATTGCAATCTCACCCCGTTCGACCTTGTGCCACGACCCGTGAGGGGCGGTTCTGGAGATGGAGTAGTTCACCCATCCGGGTGGTATGCCTAGGCTGACTTCATAGTTGAGGATGACCTGGAATGGAGATTTTACCTGGATCGGATGTTAGAATGACGAGAAGCCTGAGATGGAAAAGGAATAACTTGTGTGATGGTTTTTGTTTCCAAGAGGGTATTGGGTTACTTACACAAACACCCCCAATGTCAAATAAGAGGACCTTGGGTTGGTTTGGGGGTGACATATTTGGGCGGGCGTTGACGGGGATCAGAAGATGGCGAATTGCTCAATAATTTGTGGCTGACAGTAATATTCACGAATGATAATGACGTTACGCTGGGTGAATTCACCTTGATTTGATTACATTGCGCTGGTTAAACCGTGAGGGCGTCTCTAAGGCAACATCCATCTCAAGGTGCTTCTTATCCGAAGTACCTCGGCACGGGCAAGGAGGCACACTGGCGATGTCTGGAAACTGGCCCGTGTACCCAAACTAGTACCTCTTTGGAATTGGAGAAGGATGAAAATGATGAATATCAATAGGTCACGCCGCTTGCCTCTCTAGGCATTAATCTAACAGAGGCATGCTCCCGTCTAGGTCCTTCCCAACGTATGTAGGTAGGAATAGATGCTGGCACTTGTCTTGAACGCCAGAAGGGAACTTCGTTGGCTCGAGATTATCCATCAAGCAATAAAACCTACCTAAGGTAAACAGCTCTAATCATGAAGTGCTCTTGGCTACCCTGTAGCAAACATGGTGGGGAAATCCACCTAGGTCATGTGATTCGTCCCCGACCCTTCTGTAGACGTTTTGACAAGTTGCTCGAAATGTGGGACCAACCACGAAATGTGAATGTTAGGGCTTGAAATTTCCCCCACCAGAATTTACAACTCGCTGTTTGATCCGTCTTTCAACAACCAGCACTCATCATCAAGAGTTAGCCGTCGTTGGTCAATACCGCCACAATGGTAAGTTAGGCCTATCTTGAGGAGATTCTCTCATGTTTCTCTCTCAATTGCATCGGCAGAAATGCCATCTATTGTCTTTGCTCGGGGTTTAGAGTCATCGCAAGTTGCTTCGGAAGGAGGACGAGCAAATCTGAAGCGCAAATTGCTGACTCGATGCTGTTTAATAGCCTTTCCACAAGTTGGTTAAGAACAGCGCGTACTACAGGTAAGTCATACACGGCCTTCAAGAAAACCACACGGTCGCTAATTGCAATCTCGTTACAGTCGCTACCAGACCAAGTACAAGCGCAGACAACAGGGCAAGACCGACTACTACGCCCGCAAGCGCCTCATCACCCAGGCCAAGAACAAGTACAATGCTCCCAAGTACCGCATGGTCGTCCGCTTCACCAACAAGGACATCATCACCCAGATCGTCTCTTCCGAGATCTCTGGTGACAAGGTCTTCGCCGCTGCCTACGCCCACGAGCTCAAGGCCTACGGTATCAAGCACGGTCTGACCAACTGGGCTGCCGCCTACGCCACTGGTCTCCTCCTCGCCCGCCGTGTCCTGAAGAAGCTCGGTCTCGATGAGGACTTCACCGGTGTTGAGGAGGCCGATGGTGAGTTCACCCTCACCGAGGCCGCTGAGACCGACGATGGTGAGCGCCGCCCCTTCAAGGCCTTCCTCGACATTGGTCTTGCCCGTACCTCCACTGGTGCCCGTGTCTTCGGTGCCATGAAGGGTGCTTCCGACGGTGGTCTTCTGATCCCCCACTC